ACGGTCAGAATTTAACTAACTGGCGTCAACTCATTTTGCAATAGGCCTATAGAATTTTTTTTAAAATTCGTCACCAGTAATCATTTTTACACAAATCTTGACGAAAAATCATAATAGTCTTGAACTGTTGTTAATTTATTTTCCTTTCTCCCCTACAGCAATGTTTAAAAATATTCTAGATCTATTAATAAACAGAATAAAATAATCCATAAAATGTTTAAAATCCTTTTTGGTAAATCACAGCATATTGTGTAACTATAAGTTATCTGAGGTCATTCTAGGTCATGCCTAATTTACGACCAAAACAGAAAAAATCTCCTTAGGTGAAACATACAGCAAATGACGTATATTTCGTCTGACAGTTCTTTGAACCAGTCAGTGCTCTGAACTGTATGATTACTGCATGCGGTGAGTCCCTTTGATGTGACAGATGTTAAAACTTCAAATAAATTTCAATACAAGCAGGGAGGATAGGAATCAGACAGATCAATTTAAATTGAGTATAACACATCCCTTCATGGACTTGGAGCAGCTTGTTGTTTTTAAAAATGAAATAAATTTGAAAGGTACATAACTAGTTTGGTAATGCAAACAAAGCAAACATATTTTTGATATTTTACATTGTTTGAAATCAACAATAAACATTTAAATCCTATCACAATTTTCAACAATCGATGTACTGTTTCCTTTTTAAAGTTGTAATAAGGTGATAGCATCTGAATGTTAATATATTTTAAAGGCACCTGGAATAGGGCCTAATTATTACCTGTAATTTTTATAAGCCTCAACAGACCATGACTATTGTTAATCTTCACTTTCATTTTACTATTTTGATGTGAGGAATCCCGACATTTAGGAGTTTTTCTAAATTAAATCTCAGGGATTTCTATTGGATCCCTGGCAAAGTTGTGTCGACCCCTAGACTATTGTGAATTAGCAAAAAAACATATACAGTAGGGAATTTAATAGGACTATTTTACTATCTGAGGCATAAGTTGAAAGGATCTGCAACAAATCTTATTTTTACCATAATTTTTGCTTTGATTATTAAAAATCTTCACATTAAGATCCGGCAACCTGTTTTTCCTGGGGGCAAGTAGATTTTAAAAGTTACTTGCCCTTCGGGCAAGTGAAAGTCAAAACCTTAAGTAAACCCCTGCATGTATGAAAATTAATAAGTAGATCTACATGAAGTTGTATCAAGAAAATCTTGTAATATTTTGTAATTAAATTATTTTATTGTCTACCAATCAACTTGCATTTTGCTACCCATCACCTACTCATCTTGTGCACCTGGCATTTTTTACTCGTGAAATTGAAAGTAAAGAAAGTCTCAATTTAAGTGATAAAACATTTACAATTTTCAACAATTATAATTAGCGTACCGTAAAATTCCTATTAAACGCCCCGGGGGCTAAACATTTTCCAAAAGGGGGGCTATTATTACACCACAGTTTTTCCTTAATCCAAAAATCACTGTAAAAATCACTGTAAATACATTTAGCAAGTGTTGGTACATTAATAACATTAAAAAGTGTTGAGGTTTGAAAGTTAATATTATACATATTTGTGTTTACTATAAATTCAAATGGATTCTGAATGATTTGAATAAAATGATGGCTTTAATTATGAGTTCAGCACTGATGAGAAGATTGTTTTCCTTATCAAAAAGCCTGAGGGGCCTTTATTAGGGGAGGGGCGTTTATTAGGAATTTTACGGTATTAGACGTAATATTGTTCTAAAAATAGAATATGTGCGAAAGTTAACAACGGATTTTAATTACATTTGTATTATTATCAAAGTAACAATTGGACAATTTGTTATCGTGCGTTCTTTGATGTAGTTCCAATTACATTTTGTAATTTTAATCTTGTTTTGTGTTAACTAATTTTCATCCAGCACCTGATTGCTTTGTTTTCGAATACAAAATGTATACCTTGTACACTGTACATGTTCAATTGCTAAATATTAATAAATATACATGACATTTACAAGATTTTTTTCCAAGTTTTTACTATATGTATATAGTGAAAATTAAAGACCCCCAGGCAGGACCAAGTTGTACTTTCTAATACAAATATTGCTGTAGATTGGCCGTTAATTACTGCGATACATCGCGGCGATTTTTCGTGAACCGTCATGAAATTTGTCGAACTTGCAAGCGGCAATGTTGTACCGCATAATGTCCCGTCACGACATAGACTACACTCACGGCATAACGCGACTTTTGCGGGTTTCGCGTGTCCAGTACTGTAAGTTACATATATTGCACGCTTTGTATAAAAGTCATATCCGTGGCGGATTGAAGATACCAAATTTATATGATTTGTTGTTTTCAAACTTGTTTCCTTAATTTTTTTATTTATTTTTTGGTATTTTTTTTTGTCACATAATTTCAAAAGTTAAAATAATAATACATGCAAAAAATCATTAAATTATGCCCGTAAATGAAAAAGTAACAAGTTATATACGTTGCATGTTCTAAATGTCATATCCTTGGCGGAACTTATATACGTTGCATATTCTAAAGAAAGGATTGAAGATACCAAATATGACTTATATTTTATAAAGTTTCTGATTGTTTTTCTTGATACCACTTTATTTAAAATATAATCCGTCACTGTCATATCCGGTATTAAAAGTCATATCTGCGGATGTGAGACATAGCCGGTATTATGTCATACCTGGTTAAATATTGTTTTTTTTTGTTCTTTTTCTAATATCGTTCTTTTTATCACAAAATAAACGGTCCAGGCCCCTTTACAATTTTGACAAAAAATGCCCTGCTGGCCTAATATTCAAGTTGTTATTATATGTGACATACCTACATCAGTGATTATTTCTGGAAATATCCTTCATATATAAAATATCATAATCTGATGTCAACTCTAGATATTGATACAATTAAGAAATTAGCAACTTTTCTATATATAGCGCTTAGAGAACGTGATCAAATTTTGTCTATGTTTACGCCAGACTGTGTATTTACATACATTCGGAACTTTGCCTGTTTCGGACTAAATGATGTATTTCTCTCCCTTTCTCTGTTCTACGCCATTTGTTCATATTAAATCACGTATTTGATTATACTCTTGTGTGTTGATCTATATCCATTTTACTGGCGTGGTGGCAGCGAATTTACGTCCCACTCTTGATAAAGACCTGTGTACATCATCTCGTAATAGAATTATTACCGTGAACGCAAGTGTATTAAACAAAAACATTGACAATGGCAAATTCTACCCGCGCGCCAAAACAATGGTGCCTTACCAAACATGAAACTGTAAACTCATTTGAAAACTGTAGACAAAACTTAATCTACAGCCTTTCTTTAGACAAGAACTTTGCTCCCTTTCTCGTGGCTGGGCTTAAATGGCAGAAAAAGACCAAAACTGCACCTCACAGAGGCTTTGTGAATGACGGTGAGGATGTAGCCGAAGCTGACAGGAAAACCCGTGAGTAAAAGGTCAACATTCTTGAGTTGATGTTAGGACAGATAGCAAATTTTTGTCCAGTAATATCCAGAAACACTATTGTTAAAAACTCTACCTCCGTTGGTGATATTTGGCAAACAATCCGCCTCCACTATGGTTTCCAAATTACTGGTGGCCATTTTATTGACTTTGATTCTATCCGATATGATCCTACAGAGAGACCCGAAGATTTGTTCCAACGACTCACCACATTTATCGCATTTATAATTAGTAATTATACTTTTCTTTGATAAATATACCGCTTAAAGAACATGATTATTCATATATCTATGTTTAGATAATTAGTACTAATTCTATTTCTATGATAATTGTTGACATTTTGTTCAATATATTTCTATTATGTCTTTACCATGTCTGATATGTAGCATCCACAGATGTATATTTTGTATTATAAATCTTTATATGTGTATGGGCCGGTGGTCTGTAACTCAATAAAGTTTGATTTGATTTGATATGTGTTTATTAAGAGGGGTATATTTCCCCTTTATTTTCTCATTATTATTTGCTTATATTTTTCAATAAAATGTATAAACAAAGGGGAGATAATTTGCCATTTTCTACTTTCGTTTTCGGTACACACACAGGTGCTAGTTGCATTGATTTGACCTAAAATGTGTTTGACCTTGTTATTTATACAATAAAATATCAATATATTAAAAAAAAAAAAAAAAAAAAAATTTTCACTGTTAAATTATTATTGACAAGGTATGCAACATTCAGGTACGAAAATTATGGGTACGCCGGTTATCGGTGTTAAAATTTTTCACCGGGCGGTAATATCGTCGGATTTTTGCATGGAATCAATGCACAATATATTTTTCTATTACAATTTACTATTTACAGATCCCCAATTAACCGCTAGTTAATGTTATAAAGCCCGAAAGTAAGAAATCACCCAGGTCCGAAAGATGAGACCGTCATGACATGTACATTGTAAGCTGGTATTTACGGGCGGGTATTTACGCTTGAAATACATCAACAAAGAGATCAAACGGGTCGAACACACATGCAAACAACTGGATTTTACATACTTTTAAATGGTTTTATCCTCCACGAGTCGAACTTAGTCCTATGAGCCTGTATTTAAAGAAATATCCTACATGTAGACGATATTTTTAGAAGGTAATTCCCACCGGAAGTATTCTCCGGCTTCCGTTTCACATACATTGACAAAGAGCGGAACAGGGAACCAAGCACGTGTGGGTACACACACATTTTAATAATCAATTAATCATACCCCATACAATAGGACTAGCTGTTGCAATTATTAATCAATATTATAAATTCATTTAAGGAAGAGCTTAATAAAAGTCTAATTAATGTGTGTTGATATTTAAGATTATTAGCCTCACGCGGAAATTCCCCAAAATCCAACTTTCGTTTTCAATTGATAAAACATTGGTAATTTACCTAAGCTAGTTAATTGTTTTTGACTTGTTATGTTAAAATTTCATTTAAGTAAAAAATAATTTACTTATTAGTCACAAACGTTTCAAGATACTTACCGCAATTTCTTCAAATTTTGAGAAAATATTATCCGGGGCTATTTTCCGCCATATTGATTTACTCCAATTTTACAGCGCATGCGTATTGTAAACGAACACTACTAAATTGTCGAAAGATTTCACAACACTAAATATTTCCCTACATTTTCTTTAGAAAAAAGGGTTAAGAGACTCTTTGCGAATGATTATTTGAGGCAATATTGTGCCTTTTCTTTATTATGAGAAAATAATAGCAGGTATATATCATTTTTTTCATTTTTTTTATCATCAAAATATCATACTTCTGACCGAGACATCGTATATTTCTGGACAAAATATTAATGGCGGGATAACCAAATTGCAGGTAATAGCTTACAAAATATCTTACTGCTGGACATTGCAAAATTTTTTCAATTGTTTAAGTACTCCATCGAATTTTTGAAACAATTTATCGTTAATCTAGCACAACACAAAGTCAATTCACAAAAATTACATACTTCGAAGAAATAGTGTTTACAAAAGATCGTGTCTACCTCAACATGACTCGTACTTGTCACAAAAACATGTGCTAAAACAACAATGTATTTGTTTTATGACCCTACGAGCTTGTGTATACATTATGGTTAGTCATAAATTCAAGTTCCATACAAAATTGTGTGTTTGTATTGTAAATTTTAGGGAATATTTATGTTGAAAAAAGGCCTATTGACTCGAATATTGGAGCACCGTACAACACTGAATTTAAACACCGCATTCTTTTTCCGTTGAGCGATAAATACTGGAACCGTTTTCATTTGCACCATACTTTTTAAGTAACTGTTAATTTACCTGCTGTTATGTTATATGATGCTGTTATCACATGTTATTTTATGGAAAACTTCCGAAGGTCTGGTCTATGTACCCAGCAAACACCCGACGTTGACCCAACGTTTGATCAACGTTGAATTTTGGTCGCGACGTCGGTGACCTTCATACAACGTCAAATCGACGTTGAATCCCCGACGTCTAACAGACGTTTCATTTTGACGTCGACTCGACGTCGGGTTTTGGTCGGTAATCTGACAATAGGTGAATTTAATTTATGAAACCAATATATATATAAATGAAAGCATAAACAGCGAGAATTTTAAGTTTAAGTTAAAAAAGGGAACATTATATATTTATTTTCTCCATCAAAACAACAGTATCACGTGGGTGGCTTACGTACGATATTCGATAGGTGGCGCTCTGTAAACGGATAGTCGCAGATCAGTATGAAATATATTTGCTCTATTTTCGTTTAAATAATATCTTATCTCCTCGAATTAGTCTAAGAAGTGTTGATAAAATTTACAATGAAGCTGTTATCATTTTTGAGGGCTTCATTTTATAGTGGTAAATAATTTAGTAAATTCGAATTTGCGACTTATCGGATTTGAAATTCAATTGTATTGGCGGACAAAAAAAACGACGGGTTGACAGACAAAGTTGTATATTCAAAACAAAAGAAAAAGGTAGGCAAACATTATATATTGTTTTTCAATGCTAATTTACCGCATGTTTGCATGGATTCGATGGTTATTTGATCATTGAAATGTTTGACTGGTAAAACTTAATGTAACGTGATTTCGCGAGATAAATATTTTTGTTTCCACGTAAGAACACTTTATCATTTGCTATAGAACAGTCTGTATAATCGGATCTTTTTTCCCACACTATATCACCATGCCAAATAAATGCACAATCAATGGTAGGAAATATCCTAGCAATTGAAATCAATAAAAAGTTTAATGCAGTACGTAAGACTCTTATTATTCAAATGCTGGTAAATAAAATTTCCTCTTATTTCTTATCAACATGAATTTCCCTTATATTAGGGGCCAGTCATTTACACATGTATCAGAGACAGTTTGATTTTGATATCTGTGTAGTTGTTAAACTACTCGTTGTTAATCCATACTGTAAGCATACCATGTGTTTCTTATATTATGATAATGATTCATGGCATTTGATACATGTAAATGATACGACTTTGGTAAGATATATCTGCAAGCACATTGTATTTGACTAGCTATCTTTTTATTAATGTAATCAAACAACATATTATCAATCAGAAAACACATTATCATAGTTATAAATCAATAAAAGTAATAGTTTGTTAATTAGCCTGCTTATCAACAAGTCTGACCTATATACACTTAGCGGACCAGATCATGCTGGGCAAAAATGATATCTATAAAAATGACAGTAACATGTGAATTTCTTTGATGTTGTATGAGCATTTGTACAAAGTACATTGAATATAAAAAATAACAATATCAATTTTTGCGGGAGTAGAATTAATTTCATTTTGGTATTTGTAATATCAGTTTTTCATGCGCTTATGAGTTAACTAAGATTAATAGTAATTGGATTTTGCCTATTGTATTAGACAAACATCCTTCCACCACATGGTTAAATTCTAAAACGATTATATTTCGTCTTTCAGATTGTGAAAATTATGATAATTCAACATGTGTCAAAAGTTCAGGAGGAAGATGAAAATATTTAGAGGAAAAGAAAAATGAAAACCTACCAAGATTTTGTGACAGGTATATTTCAAAATATTATAGAAAATACAGTGATCTTATTACCCTTGATTTTATAATGAAATTCACGAAGCCATTTTTATCAAAATTAATAGATATATACAGTAGGTAAACGAAACTACATGGTTTAAACTAAATTAAAAATAATAAGTATCTTTTTAAGTAGTTGGAGAGTTTTGTTAGAATTTTGTTTAATTATAATATGTATAGGTGATTTATTTCTTGCACTTGTAACTGATTTTTTTTTTTTAATTTCAGAAAGTGTGATGAGATCTCGGGTTTGAGACGGTAATGATACGCTTATAGTATGCCCCAGATTGACATAGTTTAGGAGGACGAAAGAAGCTAGAATACTAATGAAGATACATGAACATTGCTATTTATAGTTATAACAAAATATTCAAAATATTGTTCCATTTAACATTCAGATCTAGATTCAGTTATAAAATACAAAGACAAATATACAATCAGTGAGTTGGATAGATGATTGAAAAATCCCAAACTCAGAGTGATCAGTTCAGTGGTGATATAAGATAAAAACATATGCATGGATGTTTGCTATATAAAATGTCAGTGTTAATATTCAAGAAGGATTTTGTTTATCTTATTTCTAAAACATGCTTAATTAATACATGAAGCGTTATTAAAGTACATACTGTCATTGTTTAATAGTTTCAAAAAATATTATGTAAATCTTGCATTTGTTATAGTACCACATTTCTTGTTTTGTACTTGTGATTCCTAGTATAAAATAAATTGCTAAAATCATAAGAATGCTTTTTTATTAACCCTATTAAAGAGCTTCAAAATGAAAAAAAAATCATATTCCAAAAGTTTTGAATGAGGTTAAATCATGGTCAAAAAATTTGGTCAGATAAGGTTGGCATATGGTCAGATAATGGTCAGAAAAGGTTGGATTATGGTCAGAAAAAGGTTGGATTATGTCCAAATAATGGTCAGAAAAGGTTGGATTATGGTCAGATAATAGTCTGAAAAGGTTGGATTATGGTCAGAAAAGGTTGGATAAAGGTCATTTTATGACGTTGTATAGACGTCGGTTTCTGACGTCTAAAAAACTTTCAAATCCAACCTTCTGCCAACGTTTACCCAACGTCAGGGTCTAACGTCAGTACAACGTTGGTACAACGTCTTTTGTTTGCTGGGTAAATAATACTAGTTAGATAAATGCAATGGTATCTTATATATTTTATTCTGATATCGAGAAAAGGACACAAAAGTATTTGCTAGTACGCATGAAAATCTCTTGTTTTGTTAGGAATTAGCCTAGCTGGTGACATTTAGCTTTTTCTAAGAACTGTAATGTTTGCATGCGAAAAAGCAGCTTCAAATAACATGTTCTTGTACTGAGAGAGACAAACACTTTGTAAAGCTGAAATTTATTTTCAAAAAGTTGTCTGTTTTAGAATGACGTGTATTCTTAGAACCCCGGGCTCGTCTTGAGTCTTCATTCAAACGTTTCACCTTTACTTATAAGTTTTCTAATTAGCAAGGTTTCATGTCATTGATTTTGTGATTTTACATATATTAATAGCGGATATGCAGCTAATGATTGTCTTACAAGCATTTCGTTGCAAAGGCATAAATTAAGGCTATAATTATATATTCTGTTATTTGTTTCACATTTAGTGGCAACAACAATGATCAGCCTGCCATAAAAAACTTTGAGAAGAAAGAAATTGCTGTGTTATATAATGTTGCTGGTATTTTCGGTCAATGACTCATCAATAAGCCTATCTATTTCCGACTGAAGGTTCACAGACGAGTCTCTATGAGAATGCATGGATGTTCTGCTGTGTTTCATGGTAACTCTCGATACAGTCTTGCCTATTATAAGTGACTTATAGAATCAGAAATTGAGCTGAATTTTGTGCTAACATATTTTGTTGTTGTTTTTGTTTGGCCTTACAGCACAACGACACAACTTAGGTCATATGGCGCCAAACTGAAAATATGATTTGTGCTTACCTCGGGAGTTACAAACTTAAAGAAAAACCCGGGATCAAAACAACCTCACCTGTTGGAGCTAAGAGATGCAGATACTCTGGTCATGCGAACCCAATTGGTCGCCTCTTACGATCATGCAGGGATGAAAGGCAGCTGCAATTTTGATGCCTCAACTGTCAAAGGCAATCGACTCCTATAAGACTCAAAATTAGCAATGTTTCATATGATTGATTTAAGTGATTTAACATATAGAGGGTATGTAGCTAATTATTGTCTAACACGCATATCGTTGCAAAGAAATGCATTAATATAATTATATATTATGTTGTTTGTTTCACATTTAGTGGCAACTGTTGTCTTGAGCCTTCATTCAAACGTTTCACTAATACTTATAAGTTTTCTAATTAGCAACCATGTCATAAATTTTAGTGATTTAACATATAGAGGATATGTAGCTAATTATTATCTTACAAGCACACAAGCACATCGTTGCATAGACATGAATTAAGACTATAATTATATATTATGTTATTTGTTTCACGTTTAGTGGCAACTGCAATGATCAGCCTGCCATAAAAAACTTTGAAAAGAAAGAAATTGCTGTGTTATATAATGTTGCTGGTATTCTCGGTCAATGACTCATCAATAAGCCTACCTATTTCCGACAGAAGCTTCACAGACGAGTCTCTATGAGAGTTCATGGATGTTCTGCTGTGTTGCATGGCAACTCTAGATACAGTTTTGCCAATTATAAGCGACTTATAGAATAAAAATTTTGCTTTACTTTGGCGCACCGAACACAATTTAGGTCACATAAAAAAGGAATGATGTTTTTCACTGTCTTCGGGAGTTACAAACTTCACCAATGAGTTGTTGAAATATTGATCAGTAAACGTTTTTACCTATAATGTGATCTTGTCAATGTGATCTTGACCTCTGTCCCCTTGACCCCAAAATACCATTGTGGTCATCTTCTGACTATAAGCAATGCATCTGAAGTTTGAATGTAAAAGTCAATCGGTTGTCCAGTTATTAATAGGAAACCGTCTTGACATACCAGGATAAGGTAACCTTGACCTTTGACTCCAAAGTAAAAAGGGGTCATATATTCGCCAAGAACAATCCATGTACGAAGTTTGAGGACCAAAGGCCCATGGTTTGTCAAGTTATTGATCAGAAATCGTTTTTAGCTACAAGGTCAATATGACATTATAGCAATGACCACAAAATCGGTAGCGGTCATCTACTTGCCAAGACCAATGCACCTACAAAGTTTGAGGGTCAACAGCCTATGGCTTGTCAAGTTATTGATCGGACACAATTTTTACCTACAAGGTCAATATGACCTTGACCCCTTGACCCAAAAATCAATAGGGGTCATCTACTAGCAAAGTACAATGCACCTATGAAGTTTGAGGGCTAACAGCCAATGAGTTGTCAGGTTATTGATCGGAAAGTTTTGACCTACAATTGACCACAAAATCAATAAGGCTCATCAACTAGTCATGAGCAATCATCAGTTTCTAGGCATAAGCGTTTTTTAAGTTATTAATCAGAAACCGTTTTTACCTACTAGTAAATATGACCTTGACCTTTGACCCCTTGACGCCAAAATCAACAGGGGTCATCCACTGGTCATGAACAATCATCATATCTGGTTTGAAGTTCCTATGCCTATTGGTTCTTTAGTTATTGATCAGAAAACGATTTTACCTATAATATCAATGTGACCTTGACCACTTGACTGCAAAATCAATCGGAATCATATACTGGTCATGAACAATCATCATACCAAGTTTGAAGTTCCTTGGCCTTAAAGGTCTTAAGTTATTGATCGGAAACCGTTTTTACCTACAAGGTCAATGTGACCTTGACCTTTGGTCCCAAAAAGAATAGGGGTCATCTACTGGTCATGAACAATCACCATACTAAATTTGAAGTTCCTATACCTAAAAGTTCTTTAGTTATTGATCAGAAACAATTTTTACCTACAAGGTCAAAGTGACCTTGACCCAAAAATTAATAGGGCTCATCTTCTGGTCATGAACAATCATCATACCACGTTCGAAGTTTCTAAGACTAAAAGTTCTTAAGTTATTGATTAGAAAATGTTTAACCTTCAAGGTCAATGTAACCTTGACCTTTGACCCCAAAATTAATAGGGGTCATCTACTGGTCATGAAAAATCAATACACCATGTTTGAAGATCAAAAATCAGAAAGTAAAATTTTAAGAAGTTATATATGCCCTTATTTAGTTCTGTAGGAGAGGGAAAAACAAATAATTGCACAAATGAGTTCTGTATATTTTTTATTACGAACAGTCACACATTCATGCTATCAAAACAAGCAAACAAATACATTTTACTAATTTAAAAGTACATTGTATTACATTAAAAACATATCCCAGTGCTCTATAAAGTTTATGTGACAAAATCTAATAGTTGTATATTGTTAACATTTCTCTAACCTGATATGCATATGCCACCATTTAAAAAAACATATTAAGCTTTTTTTAATTAATCAAAAACAATTTACATTCATACTATATTTGCACTAATAGAACAGTATGTTGTTATTTTTTGTTGTATCTATTCATTCTAAATACAGTGAGGAAATTTAAAAGTCTACAAGTTAAAACATACCTATATTTATTGTTGTACATGATACAAAAAATAATCTTTAGTCAATCAATGGCTGAAAGGAAGTGTGTATTGCTATAATTTAAATCCCATATAGTTCTCCATAACTTTATCAATTATCAATTAATAGAATTACAAATCAAGACACACTTTAACAAAGTTATAATTAATATACATGTAATACCGAATAGAACTGTTTAATTTGCTAGTTTTCATCATCTTGCTTATGACAAATTAAACAGTTTTTATCATTTATTTACTTCATATTCTTCAATTTAACCAACTTATTCTAATAAACAAACAAAGTTCTGATAAATAAAGAGAATAAAATTGTGCATATTTCAAATTGATAAGTGCTCTCAGACAAGTTTATATTTATTCAAACAGAATTATTTCTACTTATCTAGATACTTTTCAATGTACATTTCAAGTTAATTGTTCATGTAAAATATATAAGTATGTACAATTGACATATTCCACATTAAACTTATCTTAACTTAACTTAAGTATAAATATGGACTATTTGTATACATGTGCATAAAGGTATACAGATGTACTTGAATGATATAATCTATATTCCAAATCACAAACAAACATGTTTGATGCATATGTTAATAAGACATAACATACCTAAATGTAAAATAAACAAAAACATCCATATACCTAGTAATTAAACAATTGCATGTAATTATATGTTTATTTATATACTAGATGAATTTACTCCATATATATTTAAAGTTTAAAGGCACATTACGAGTAAGAAATGTATAGATATTTATTTTTGTAAAAAGGGCGAATATGTGTTTGGTTATGTTGTAATAATAGATTTACAACATGTGATATTCTTATCCCCTGACAAAAATGAGTTTGAAAAGAAAATATGATTAGTGTCGCAAAATGTAAACAAAATGGTTATTTCACATCCATATAAAATACTTATTCATCATAACTGTACTCAAAGTTGCCAAAATGCAAAAAAACAAAAACAAGATGGCTTAGATATATTGCCAATAAGAAACTTTTTGAACAAAAAATGAAAGTTTTTAAAAATAAAAGTGATTGCATTTTTTTCAGTCTTAATGGGCCTACAGGTTGAACTGTTTAAAATGTATGTATGTCACATAACATTACTTGTTATAAAATAATATAATCTTATCTTCATAAAAGGATTGCAATAGCTTGTAATTATCCCATAAACATTTATTTACATGTACTAATATGTTTACATATGTACTATATACATTCAATCAGAATTTCATCTAACAAACAGACATTTGTAAGATATGTTTATATATAACATATCTTAATTTTTGTATATACTAACATCAGCAAGCATAAAGACTAACATACCGTTAATAAAATATAGTTATATCATTACTGTTTGAAAGCATAAAACTTCATTTTAGCATCGTCCGAACCCATACATACAGATTTTACTGAACTACATTCATCACAAATGAAGTGTATTCATAACCAGTATGCTTTAATTACCCAGGATGCATTTTAAGACAGTATATTACAACATATCTTTTTAGTAATTTCATGTAACATATGTTTTACAATACATGTAAACTAACATATCATAATTATGTTAACATCAGCAGAAATATAACTTATGTATGCCTACATGTATTGATGTTACAATGTCTTGGTACTAAAATATGACAAATTGTTTAGTTAAAAAGTTCTAATTCAACTGTTACATAAATATATGAACATAAACATCTGATAGTATATAAACTTATAAAACATGGCTGTCTGTGTGAAAGAGCATACTGACATATGAAAGCTGGTATATATCCCTCAGGTATAGCTGAGACTTGTTATATCCCTGAGGGGCAACTCACAGAACTGACATTTAATGAGGACTGGTTTATATCCTCAGAACTGGTATACATATCCGAGGGGCAGCTTAGAACTGGTATATATTACCAAAGTGGACCTGGGAATTGGTATATATCCCCTAGATGTAACCGAGATGACAAAAAATTAAGTTTAAGAGTCAATAAGCACTTGCGCCTGAGAGCCATGTATATTTTACCTCAATTGTTCATTTCTTTTGAGGATATGTATGAAGGTATAATGAAATCATATTTACATTTATTGTGTATAACTTGTTTTGATTAAAAATTATGTTATACTGTCTATGTAGTTACAGGATATACAAGTACATCTAAATTTACTGCAAGGCATATCTATACTTGACTTGTGTTTAAATTTATCATTCTTACATAAACAGCAAAAAGTTTACTTAAAGGAGCTCCACTGAGTTCCAAAAGCCAAACAAAAAAAGAATATAAAATCCAAAACTGATCAATCGGGGTATTCAATTCAGAAAAAAAATGATACTTAAGAAATATACTCGGAATAAAACTGAAAATCAATATAAATGAAGTGTAATTTTCAGACGGACTTTAGCTATAAACATTTAAACACTATCGACAGGACAGTGTGCTTGACTATCCACAGTGATGGATAATGCAGAATGATCTAACTTCAAAAATGGAAATAAAAGTATCCTTAGTTTGACACCAATGCGGTAAGTACTATTATAGCATTAGCTATTCATTTAATAGCCGAGCTAAAATGATTACTAGTATTTTGGAAAAACAAAGTGAGCAAATAATCCAAAATTTTGCATACAAATTTTTTACATGAAAAGTAATATATCTTCTTAAAATAGTATGAAACCTAAACAACATAACTCCCATTAGACATCCTATCATGTCAAACAATTAATATAATAAAATCCTCAGTGGAGACTCTTTAACTATACAATTTGAGTAATACTTATAACAGTATTAACTTGTACACATAAATCGTTTTGCATAATTATAACATTTCTCACTTTTTTACAATCTCTACAATTTAAAACAATCCAAGAAGGAATCTCTAAAACATAACATGTAAATTGTCCTCATCTCAATGACAACAATTATGTATACCATTTACTTGTTCTCACATCTAACAAGTATTCACTGACACATATAAAATTACTATTCTTCTTCATCACATAACACTATATATCATATAACTGGTAATAATATATACTATTCCCTTGTCCTATATAACATATAACTGGTATTTATTATACAATTCTTTGTCCTATATAACAACTGGTATTCCCTTGTCCTATATATCATATAACTGGTATATACATATACCAATCATTTGTCCTTAATATCATATTCTGTATTTATAAATACCATTCTCTTTTTCTATATATCATATAACCAGTATTTACATAAACCAGTCATTTGTCCTACATATCATATTTGGTATTTATATATACCATTCACTTTTTCTATATATCATATAACTTTTATTGATATATACCATTCTCAAAAAAAAATAGTTCAAACACTATGTAACGAAATGGATACTTTATCACTTTTTTGTTGAAAATACAAACACACGATCATCATCACGTTTAACATGAAAAAACTGATCCTTATCCTTTACATACTGTATAGCATCATTTCTCTTCCCTCCTCTACGTACTTGTGATACCAATGTAAACCTATCATCATTAAACTCCTCACCATCTCCTGTTATATCATAGTTCAATACATTCACATCTACAGTATGAGGAGTACCAGGAAGACTATCAACAAACTTCTGCCATGTTGTCAAACTCATTGTGACAAAATTAAGCTTAATGTACTTTAAACTCTTCATCTCTAAAGGTAACTGTATTATATTGTCAGTTAACCTACACCACCATAACTCAAGCTTACTGAGATTGTGTAACAATGGTAATACTGTGACAAGTCTCTTTGTTATGTTGGTATGATATAATTGAGATTTATTGTTATAATCTCCATACAATTCAAGTTCTTTTAATTTGTAAGATTTTCTAATAATATCAAATATTTTCTCATAATTACTATTTTTCAATTTACCAAATGTAAATATTTCAAGGTTTGTAGTACCAGCATCTATCACACTTACAGTATGTCTCAAATAAAGGTACTGAAGTTGTTGATGTTTTGATAAATTTACATCATGCTGCTTCATACACCCACATTTAACACTATCAAGATGTATTTGTTCAAGATGACTGGTTCCCTCAAGAAAATTATAAAATGTAGTAGTATCATCATGACTCAATGTTATATGTCTCATACTTATTGCTACAAGATTGATCATACTAGGTAGGTAACTAACAACTGTTTTACACACTGGGTAATACTTGTCAGAGTAAGAGACATGAAGAGACAGAGATTTTAATGTTGAAGTATTTACTTTAATTGTCTCACAAACACAATTGTTCATCTCATCAATCATCTGTTCATTACTATGTGTACTATCATTTTGTGTATTTGATAACCTAAATAGTGGTTTAGATTCATATTCATATTCTATTTCAATTTTTTCAAGATGATGAAACATTGGTAAATATTTTGTAAATTTAACATTTTGTGTGTTGATGTAATCTACATGAATAGACAGAACAGAGTCAGGAACAATTTGATGCTGATCAATACCTGAACAAACAATATCACAATCATCATCAATGAACAAATCTCCTATATAAAATACAGGATTACTTCCTATACTACATGCTGCATTTAATTCTTCCATTGAATCAAACATAAGCTTTTGAATATCAGTTATACAATAATGATCGCTATAAAAAATGTTACTTATTGTTCTCCTGTATTCCTGAACACGAGAGTCTTTTAACAAAGTATCATATATGTATTTTGAAACATGAGTTGCTAATCTAGGTTCAAGACCAGATAGCATAATGATAACATTTGACTGCTCTAATATGTCATTTACTGTTGAACAATTCCGAAAAACCTCACAAATAAACTTTTTGACTAATTCAACATTTCCTGTACTATCTGATGAACACATTTTTGCATTGAAATTTATACCAATATTCACTGCAGCCAGAAATTCTTGCATTGATTTGTGAATGAAAGAGAACAATGAGCTTTTAGGTTTGGATACAGAAAAAGAAGGACATTTATCTTCTGTCAAAATCCCCAGTTTCAGACATGTTTGTTGCACATCTTGTGATATTTTCAAATCATCAAACACAGATTTGTCAAATGTTAAGGACTTATCCTTTGAATAATTGAACAATGTCTCATAAGCCAAGTGCGACACATCATATAAAAGATGACTATTTAATCTACATATCTCTACATCTGTTAAATACTGAGGGAGTTCAACATTCTGAGAACCTTCCATACATTCTGCATTATTTCCTAAAGTTTTATTGATATTCCAGGTGAAATAAAGTTCTAACATACCAGTATAAATAGCACACCTTGAGGTTTTATCGAGTTTACCATCACACCATAGACAAACCAATTGCTGCAGCATAATTGGTACCTGTTTCAGGCCAACCAGAGAACGTACCTTAAGCTTTTGTTCACACTCACTAGGATCTAATGATTCGTTCAACGCTGTTATTGTTTTCTTAATCATTTCTTTTTCATGTGTTTCATCAAACCCTTTTAATTTCAATAATTGATGAATCTCTCTATTACTTACTCTCAAACTGTGAATTTTCCAGGGCCGTGATGTAGTAACAATGGTGTATTTCTTTGTAAAGTCACGTTCAGGTAGGCCTGCCTGAAACTCATTTCTAATCTCACTGTCAAAAGACCATTCATCTAAACCATCAAGCAAAATAATTATCTTTTCAGAATCATTTTCCATAAGTTTACTTAAATTTTTTATCTTATCATATCGCATTTCAAGCATTTCTTGGATACTTCGGATATTTATGTTATGTCTAAGAGAAATATAAAACATGAAATCAAATTTCTTCATTTCCTTGACTTCTTCAAACTCATCATCTTCATTGTGTCCATCACTGTGTGCCATACACCAACAGTTGATCAAATATTTACAGAAACTACTCTTACCAGACCCTGCATCTCCAACAACATAAATAAATTTCTGTGGATCCCCATTCTTTGTGAAAATCTCTGACATGGACTTTATTTCTTTTTCCTCAGACTCCCCTCTATTCTTTTCTATCTTGCTTGTTATAGTGGGTCTAATATAAACGTCACTGAAATTATAATTTTCCTCATCTGGTTGTAAAGGTATTGCTGATACTTTAAGTACGTCACTGCGATAATGTTCTATCAATTGAGTACGACAACCTGAAATTTATTGAAAGCAAAACTCACAAATTATCTTAACATTACAAGATTCCCTCACAAACTAGAGAGTTCCCTTACATTGAAATGATGATTTTGTAGTAAGTGTTGTTTTGTAAAAGTATAAATTAAATACAAAGATATATGATAAAATTATCACAATTCGGGCAAAATTCACCTGTTTTAGCCTTATAATATTATATGAAGCATACCTATTTAGCCTTTACATACCTGATATCTAGCCTTGTCTGATTAAAATTTTATTAGCCCCTTCATTCTATATATAACATACCTAATTTAAACTTTCATATTCTATAGAAACAAACCAGATTTTGCTTTTTGACATTTTATATAACAAACCTGATTTAGCCTTTTCATTCTATATATATAACATACCTAATTTAACGTTTCATATTCTATATAACATACCAGATTTTGCCTTTTCATTTTCTACATAATATACATGTATTTTGTACCTTATACAGCCTTTTTAAATTCCTTATAATATACCTTATTTAGCCTTTTCATATTCTATAGAACATACCTGATTTAGCCCTTTCATATTATATATAACAAACCTTATTTAACCTTTTCATTTTCTATATAATATACCTGATTTATCCCTTTCATATTCTATATAGCATACCTGATTTAACCTTTTCATATTCTATATAACATACCTGATTTAGCCTTTTCATATTCTAACTGTTTTTGTTGAGGAGAATCTTCTATCTTGAGTCTTTTTATATCCTGCAACATAATTAATTATACAAATAATTGTGTTTTATTCAGTAATTTTCTAAAATGTCTATTGTTTACAGTAATATTGGTAATTTAAGTACCCAAACCAAAATCGCAAGCTTTATAAAAGCTTGCAACAAGCTTGTCGCAAGCTTGCACATAAAGCTTGCGGAAAGCTTAAAATTGAAACCTCGCGGCAAGCTTGCCGCAAGCTTGGGGGAAGCTTGCAGCCTGTTTTCAAAAATGCATGCTTTAGATTTGAAAGGCACCACAAGCTTGCGACAAGCTAGTTGCAAGCTTGCAAGGCAAGCTAAGTTGCAAGCTTGCGACAAGCTAGTTGCAAGCTTGCTTAAGCTTTGATGCTAAATATCTTAGCTCTAGCTCTTTGAGTTCTTTAAGAATGATTTTTTTAAGTTTTTACTATATGCATATAGGGAAAAGTCAATGACCCCCTGGGGCGGGCCAATTTTGACCCCAGGGCTTTTATTTGAACAAAGTTGGTAGACACCCATAAGAAGATGTTTTATGCTTAATATCTAAACTATAGCTATTTGGGTTTTTTCAAAGAGGATTTTTTAAGTTTTTGCTTTACACATATAAGGAAAATCAATGACCCCCGGGGCAAGGCCAATTTTGACCCAAGGGCTTTTATTTGAACAAACTTGGTAGACACCTATTAGAACATATTTCATGCTAAATATCTTAGCTCTAGCTCTTTGAGTTCTTTAAAAGAAGATTTTTTAAGTTTTTACTATATGCATATAGGGAAAATCAATGACCCCCTGGGGCGGGGCCAATTTTGACCCCAGGGCTTTTGTTTGAACAAACTTGGTAGACACTCACTAGAAGATGTTTCATGCCAAATATCTAAGCTCTAGCTCATAGGGTTTTTTAAAAGAAGATATTTAAAGTTTTTTCTTTCGGTTGCCATGGCAACCAGAGTTCTGCATGGAATGAAATTCTTTTGAACAATTTTTAAAGGTGACCACCAAAGGAACATTCCTGTGAAGTTTGGATGAAATTGGCCTAGTGGTTTATGAGGAGATGTCATTTAAAGTAAAAGTTTACGGACGACGGACGGACGCCGGACGAAAAGCGATCACAAAAGCTCACCCTGTCACTTTGCAACAGGTGAGCTAAAAATTGGCGTAGCAGTTTATGATGAAATGTTAAAGTGTACGGATGGATGCCGGACAAAAGGTGATAACAAAAGCTCAACATGTCACATTGCCATAGGTGTGCTAAAAACAAAACAGTCTATAGTCCATTCTTATTTATGCCACCTTTACCCCAATTGATACACCCCTTTTTATTATAGATTTCTTATTTGCAGTCAAGTTTTTTAGCTGCTACATTTGAAACATGAAAGTTATGAAAACTGTATTAGCTTTATAAGCCAAAAATACAATGAATACTCTAGGAAACAAGCAATTTCATAGTATTGCAAGCAATCCATAAGTCCCCTACCGGTTAGAACCCCATCAACATTCTGAAGGGCCATTGGCCATTCACTAATGTTTTCAATTTTTCTCTATTTTAAGTAAATTTGTTGGAAAAGTTCTTTAAAAGTGATCACAGGAAACAGTTTTTATGAACAGACAGACAGACAGACGGACTGAGGACACTCTAAAGTTAATATTTGAAACATCCCTGTTACCAACATTAACATTTTAAAAGCAAAATTCTTAAAGAGGAGATAACTCTTGAATTAAAGATGCAATTTCATAAAAAAATTTCAGCTCTTTTTGACTAATCACAAATATTGTTATATTTGCCATGTTTTAAGCCTATTTGTTGCCAAGGCAACTGATATTTTATCAAAATAGGAAGAACAGATAAGACATGCATAATCTCAAGACTGCTATCTACCCATATGTCAAGTTTCATAAAAAAATTTCCAGTACTTTTTGAGTTATCAGTGGATTCAGTTTATGTGTAAAATTTGCCAAATTTTCAGTCTATGTGTTGCCATAGCAACCAGAATTTTTAACATAGGAAGAAAAGAAAAAGACCTGCATAATCTCAAGACTGCCATCTACCCATATGTCAAGTTTCATAAAAATATTTCCAGTACTTTTTGCGTTATCACTGGATCCAGTTTATGTGTAAAATTTGCCTTATATTTTCAGCATATTTGTTGCCATAGCAACCAGAATTTTCAACATAGGAAGAAAAGAAAAAGACGTGCATTATCTCAAGACTGCCGTCTACCGATATGTTAAGTTTCATAAAAATATTTCCAGTACTTTTTGTGTTATCACTGGATCATTAATTGTAATCATTGATTTTTAATTGATTACATGATTACAATGTAATAATCATGTAATTGATTACCTCACCCAAATTTGATTAATTTAATTGTAATGAATCAATTACAGCTAAAATTTAGTCAGTAATTATGATTACAATTTGATTGACATTGATTACTTTTAGATTTAACAAGAAACTATTTTAATTCAAATAATGCCTTTATTTCACATTATACAGTTTAACTTTTGTTTTACATTTATACATTAAAAGCCCTTGATTAAGATCATCTAGGCTGGACCAAAGTGGTCTTAATTGTGGGGTGGTCTTAATTGTGAATAGTCTTATCATTGCTTACATACTCTATGACCATGGTCTGTTTTAGTCATTTTGTATGAGAAAAAGATGGTATGTATCTTAAGCTACAAATACAATATAAAAGACACTATAAATGTATGCTTTGATATCTGATAAGAGGAAAACATATTTCTGAAGAAATTTAACATAAAATTCTCTTTGGTCAGATTTCAATATCAATTATGATATGATGTACATAACAAATAAATAATAAAATGTTATTCTGATTAGAATGGCCGTACATAGATAACTTTTATTTTTTTAAATTATGTAATTGAATTGTTTTATGTTGTTATGTACATGTATGGATGAGACTCTAATAAAATATCTATATATATAAATCATCTAGCAAATAAAAATTAATTCTTCACAAAATAAAATTGCTGAATTTGGCAACATTAAACCACTCTAAAATTTACCTTCTCACCTTATTAAATACAATGATCCCATAATAACAGTGTTTCACACCTTGTGAAATTAAGAGTCATCAGATCACAACAACAAATTTAAGATCTAGATAAGTGTTGCCTTTAATATAAGTGGTCCAAATGAAGAATAAAGCAAATAATTTGAACTGAATCAGGTGGTCTTTAAAGTGGAAAAGCGGTTCTTCTTTATTCTGGATCATGTAACCATTGACATAAAGAACCTTGTAAAAAATAGTCTTAATAAGGGGGTGGTCTTAATTCAGGGGTGGTCTAAAGTAGGGATTCTACTTTAAATTGAATGTAATCAATTATTTATCAATTACTCTATTCAAAGTCAAAGTCTTAAAGTAATTGTAATTTAATTGATTACAGAGGCAAGTCTGAGTAATCAATAATAATCAATCACAATAAAATGTGAAAGTAATTGTAATTAAATCAATTACTGATCAATGTAATCATCCCCAGGTCTGGATAATAGTTCTTTATCAGGGCACATCATTTCAAAGAAAATTCTCAAAAGGTATAGGAAATAAGTGAGGTGGTACGAAAAATTATATATTTCAAAAAAGGGCATAATTCTGTCAATATCCACAGGGTGATTTGAAAAACTTAACCGAAAGTGATGGACAGATGTCAAAATCCAAGTGAGTTGGATATTGATATAACATGTTATATGCGATTAATGATGAATTCTGCAGCATTTATCACCATATTTCTACTGTGTAACTAATGACAAGAGGGCCATGATGGCCCTGAAGTCGCTCACCTGTATATAGGCCCCCGGAGCGAGCCAGTTTAAACCCCAGGGCTTTTCTTTGAAAAAAACTTGCTAGATACCCATTAGAAGATGTTTCATGCTAAACATCTAAGGTCTAGCTTGTTTGGTTTTTTAAAAGAAGATTTTTTCAAGTTTTTTCTTTACACATATAGTTAAAAACAATGATACACCTGGGGCAGGGCCAGTTTTGACCCCAGGGCTTTTATTTTAACAATCTTTGTAGACACTATCTAGAAAATGTTTCATGCTTAATATCTAAACTCTAGCTATTCGGGTTTTTTCAAAGAAGATTTTTAAGTTTTTGCTATACACATATAAAGAAAATCAATGTCCCCTTGGGCGGGCCAATTTTGACCCCAGGGCTTTTATTTGAACTTACTTGGTGACACCCATTAGAAGATGTTTCATGCTAAATATCTTAGGTCTAGCTCTTTGGGTTCTTTAAAAGAAGATTTTTAAGTTTTTACTATATGCATCTAGGGAAAATCAATGACCCCCTGGGGCGGGGCCAATTTTGACCTCAAGGCTTTTATTTGAACAAACTTGGTAGACACTCACAAGAAGATGTTTCTTGCCAAATATCTAAGCTCTAGCTCTTTGGATGTTTTAGAAGAAGATATTATAAATTAAAGTGTTTTCTTTTGGTTGCCATGGGAACCAGAGTTCTGCATGGAATTAACTCATTCGACCCGTACGCCGAGTATAGTCTTTGTCTTTATCTGTTATCGTGTACCGCGCCCCGAGTATAGTCGTCGTATAAAATTTATCGGCTATCCCGCATGACGAGAGAAGTCGTCGAGTATTGAACTACTACTGTATACCGCGTGACGAGTTATGTCGGCGCATTTCATTGGTTGTTTCGACGGGTTATATTTAGATTTGAGGTATTTTGACCAATCAGGAAACGCGTTATATGTATAGTATACAGGTTTACCTAAACAAAAGTGAAAATTTTATCGAAATATCTCTATCTGAAAAAAAGTTATATTGCGTTAAAAAAATGGAAAATCGGATTAATTTATTTTACATTATGTTTGATACGGTCACGGAAAATGGCGCAAATTCGGATTGTGACATTAGTCTCGATAGTGAAAGTGAGATAGAATCAATCGGATAGATCGAGTGACAGTCAAAATGAAAATGAAAGTGCGGACGAAAATGTGGAATATTCTCAGTGGAAGACAAACGATCGGTCAGAATTGCCTAAGAGACCTTCACAGGCCCAAATCCAGGACCTACTACAGACCTTGATTCGGACTCAAATGAATTTGATTTCTTTGAACTGTTCTTTTCTGTGTTTCTTATTGAGCTACTTTGTAGACAGTAATTTTGATTTTGTCTTACAAAAATATTTAGTTTGATCTTTTTCATTCCTTTTATCCAGAAAAGTAACGTAATTGAAAGCTCCAGAAAATAAGAGTAACTGTTTCTAGTGTAAGAAATACAAAAATGTAAAAACGTTACAGTTTTTGTATATATTTTTGTAATTATTTTTATATTAATATTATATATAATTTTTATAATTATTATATATAATTCTAAAATTATCTAAAATTAATCCACACATATAACAATTTTCATTCATATTTCATATATCGATTATTTTTTCCGGCTCATATTTTCTTACTTTTAGACACAGAAGTAAAGATAAATTATTTATTGTTTCTTTGAAATTTTCTTAAAAAAAAAAACAACAGGAAATAAAAGTTTTTTTTAATGAATATGAATTTCTGATGTATATACACCTCTGCACCATAAATGTTATATTTCTTGTCTGTTTTTATGAGCTCCATAGCATAATACTTATATTTGCTCATTAGTCATTACTATAACTTATTTATTTGCATAATCCTTTCCAAAGTATTCATTTTCTAATTTGTAAATTAGCAGTAAATTTCTCAATATATTTTTTAATTTATTATATTATGGAGAAGAATGTTTTAATAGAAATTTATACAATAAATAAAGTTCTTTTATTACAAATAAACTGATTTTATGTTGAAAATCTTCTTTATTTTATTGATAATAAATCAGTCCAACATGTTGCCATAGTGATGGAAGTTACACCACTGATTAGGTAATTTTATTGCCAATATTTATGTGTCATTTCAGCTTGATTGGATTAAAAATGAGATTGCCAGAGGCAAATTACATAATGCAGCCCCTATTATTTATGACCTGTCAATAAAACAGTGCAATATCCCTCAGGGAGACAGGTTAGATAAAATCAATAAGGTACCTAGGAGTTGGCTTATCAGTTATCAGTAGGGTTTAACTGGTAGACAGTGTACAGGGTTGAATGAGTTAAATTCTTTGAACAATTTTCAAAGGTGACCACAAAAGGAACATTCCTGTGAAGTTTGGATGAAATTGCCTTATTGGTTTATGAGGAGATGTCATTTAAAGTTAAAGTTTACGGACGCTGGACAGACGCCGGACGAAAAGCGATCACAAAAGCTCATCCTGTCACTTTGTGACAGGTGAGCTAAAAAGAGCATCATGAAATTACAAAGCTTGCTAACCAAATTGTGTGCCTTAGCAAGCTAATAATACTGGTTTACCATACAAATATTAGTTATTTTTAAACCATGGTTGTTTGTTATAATTATATATACCGGTATATCAACCAGAAACAAACAGTTATACATGTACCAGTATATTAACCAGAAACAAACAGTTATACATGTACCAGTATATTAACCAGAAAAAAGCAAAAGAAACACATTCTACCTCTTTTTGTTCTGTCTCAGGAGCAGTAAATTTTCTTTTTGATTCTGTATGTTTTTTCTCAGCTTCCTGTGGACCTACAAATTTCAAAACACAAATATATAAGACTGTAGTTTCTTTTTAATAAAAAGGAAAATTACATGTACTTTAATGAAAAAGGATAATTTTTAAATATAATATCAACTTATAAATCGTGATTTTCTTGGAGAATCTCCACGATAATACCTTTACCCTCTCTAAAACTCTGCGATTGTGCATGGTCATGGGTGTTTCTCCGCGATTACTCTCAGAAAAACGAGGGGGGATTAAGGAGTTCGTTTAAACGTTGATTGCGGAGGAAGCACAAAAATTGTACATTACACTCGACCTGAACTGTAAATGACAAAGTTATATATACAAATATAATCAAAATTCAATCATTTAATGGTCAATGTCATTTAAACATCAATGACATATCTTAATTATTATACATGTCTGTTTTGTCACAAGTGTTGTTCAATCAACGTGTGATTCAAATCCTAAAGTTTGTTTTGTCTAAGTATGAAAATAATCCATTTAAAAAAACCCAAGAGTTACAAAGTACATATGAATCATACAAATCACTCAGTAAAATTAAAATGAGCTTTGATTATAAGGTCAGTGGTCATACATGCTTCAGGTCAAGTTTGAGTTTGATTACATTCAGGTCCTGGCTATTATGACATTGTGACTTCGTAATATGATGTTATGTAAAATAACGAATTCAAAGATTTTAAGGAGTCTAGGTTCCACATCCTATAATCAATTTCTTATGTTAATTGTAGGCAATCTTGTTTTTGGTCCAAGTCTTAATCAAACCCTAATAACTCAAATAACTAAAGATACATGATAATTAAAACAAAAATTCTAAGTAATTTGACTTGGATGGTCCAAGGGTCATTTATAAAGTTCAAAGATCGATCAGTTTTCAATCTTTAGAAGGTCCTGTTTATTTTTTTTAAAATACGCAGATAATAAATTTATTAATTGACCATCAAGGTCATAAAAGAGCCAAGGTAAATTTGAGTTTAATAGTTATAAATGTCTTATCTTTAAGAATGTTCTGTTTTAATATGATGTGGATCGAGTCGTTTTTAACAAATTAAAAGCCAACTACAGAATTTTTTTTATTATTATTCTAACACGCTTCGTACTATTTTTCCTTTCAAACAGGTAGGACAATCAAGTATATTATAACACAATACATATAAACAACATTAAAAATATGTTATCTGATGTCATATATGACGTCAATGAACTAAATGACGTCAGTGAGAATATCATTACCCTTAATATAATTTTTCCATATTCTAATTAATTCCTTTAATGTATTAGAATGGAAATATATGTTATTTGTTCTATATTATAATATCATAATGCATGGATTATTGTTCAAATGCTTTGTAATAAATCACTCCAGAGTATCGGTCTTCGTGATTATGCTCTACCTGTGCATTTGAATGCTAACCATGCATAATTCTTTAAAAATGCACTCAAAATTGATATGTACATGTATTAAATTCCAAACTGAACAAGCAATTATCATAGTATTGCAAGCAATCCATAAGTCCCCTACCGGTTAAAACCCAGCAACATTCTGATGGGCCATTGGCAATTCAATTTTACCTGAGTGAATGAATGACATGAATGAACTTAAACTTTGAGTTCTAAGTTTGTCTATATATATCACAGTAATGTGTTAAGTTTCCCTGCCTAGTAAGGAAATTATGTTTATACAACCTTGTCATATTATTACGATGTGGGATTTTAAAGTAAATCCTATAAGGAATGAAGAAGTTGGAGTAAAAAATACCAATTTCTCGAAAAAAAATCTAAGTTCAAGGGGGACATAATTCTGGAAATAGTCTTGCTAGAGTATTTAACCTTCTCAAAAATGTTGAGTGATATATATATATATGAAGTTTGAAGTAGATACATTGGGAAATAAAGAAGTTATTTAAAAAAGAAAACTTTTTTTTTTTCATAAAAATTCTAAGTTCAAGGGAGGTAGTACTGATAATTTTTGTGCCTTGCCACATATGATGTGGTTGATGACTAGAAACTTGTATTTAAAGTTTGAAGTAAACACCTTAAGAAATCAAGAACTTATAGTGAAAAAGCTGAAAAATTTAAATCAGAAATCTTAAAATCCAGTCTATTTGTTGCCATAGCAACCAGAATTTTCAACATAGGAAGAAAAGAAAAAGATGTGCATAATCTCCAGACTGCCATCTACCCATATTTCAAGTTTCATAAAAATATTTTCTTTCAGTACTTTTTGAGTTATCACTGGATCCAGTTTATGTATTAAATTTGCCATATTTTCAGACTATTTGTTGCCATGGCAACAAGAATTTTCAACATAGGAAGAAAAGAAAAAGAAGTGTATAATCTCCATACCGCCATCTATCCATATATCAAGTTTCATAAAAATATTTTCAGTACTTTTTACGTAATCACGGGATCCAGTTTTGTGGACGGATGGACGGACAGACAGATGGACAGACAGACGGACGGTAAACCAAAAGTCCCCTCCGGTTAAACCAGTAGGGGACTAATAAAAACATGATTACCGTTCTAAAGTAATAGTTCAGACAGTTAATGATTACAAGTACTAGTAATTTAGAAGATCTTGAAAAATATATATACCGTAGTAGTTACTGCTATTAATCTTTAAAATATCAATTCACAAAATTATAGATCAAATATATATACCCTAGTAGTAATCTTTAAAATATCATTTATATCTTTGACGGCTTTTTGTAATCATTTGGTAACTGGTTCCAAAGGGTGATGTAGTATGCAATTACATTATAATATGTACATGTATACATGTATACATCAAATAAAAAGGTTATTTTTCTTTCAGATAAACTTGAATTTCTATTCGTACATACCTGTATATCTATGTTGAGTTCGAACTTTTTCCATTTCCTTTTCATATTTTTCTATTGTATCTACATAAATATCATTTCCACTGTCTCGACATATCTTTTTCAATGTTTCATAATTTTCTCCTGGTGTTATGATTTTTCTGGTGCATAAAGTTTCAAATATATCTAGACTTGATTTATTGGCAATTAATCCTCGAGGCACATAAGCTTCGATATGGTAAATTAGATTCTTATACTCTCTGCTGTTTTGATCTAAATCATCGTTAATTTCAGAGATAAGTTTACGGTGAAGTCTGCGTAGTTCTGTTTGTTCCTCCGAGGAATTGTCATAGGAAGATGCCATGTTATCACCCTTTAAGATTACCTGAGGACAAAGGTTGATATATTAATATACAAAAATAAAATACATGTATGAAATAATTTCCAGATGAAAAAATGCATATAGAATTTGTGTAACTTGTAACATATTTTATGTAATATTTTTTATGTAACGTAATTGATCACATATACATGTAATTTCATTTATAATCTCAATTCAATTTATGGGGCTCGAAACCTGGAAAAGATAAAATGCTTTAAACTTAATTTATTCTATTTTTTAATTGCACAAACATAAAAAAGTAATAATGATTATATGGTCATCATTAAATTTTAAGTCATTTGTTAGTGTGTTTTTCAAAAGTAACAAAAACATAAACACATTTAGACACAGTAGCAAATTTTAAGAAACTGCCTCTTCATGTCCCTGCGATATCATCCCAATATATCACCTACAGTGCGGGTAATATTACTATGTATATGCCAATTTGTGTATTGTATATCATCCAAATATATCACCTACAGTGGGGGTAATATTACTATGTATATGCCAATTTGTGTATTGTATATCATCCAAATATATCACCTACAGTGCGGGTGATATCACTATGTATATGCCAATTTGTGTATTGTATATATCATCCAAATATATCACCTACAGTGCGGGTAATATCACTATGTATATGCCAATTTGTGTATTGTATATCATCCAAATATATCACCTACAGTGGGGGTAATATTACTATGTATATGCCAATTTGTGTATTGTATATCATCCAAATATATCACCTACAGTGCGGGTGATATCACTATGTATATGCCAATTTGTGTATTGTATATCATCCAAATATATCACCTACAGTGCGGGTGATATCACTATGTATATGCCAATTTGTGTATTGTATATCATCCAAATATATCACCTACAGTGCGGGTAATATCACTATGTTATATGCCAATTTGTGTATTGTATATCATCCAAATATATCACCTACAGTGCGGGTAATATTACTATGTATATGCCAATTTGTGTATTGTATATCATCCAAATATATCACCTACACTGCGGGTAATATTACTATGTATATGCCAATTTGTGTATTGTGTATCATCCAAATATATCACCTACAGTGCGGGTAATATCACTATGTATATGCCAATTTGTGTATTGTATATCATCCAAATATATCACCTACAGTGCGGGTAATATTACTATGTATATGCCAATTTGTGTATTGTATATCATCCAAATATATCACCTACAGTGCGGGTGATATTACACTATGTATATGCCAATTTGTGTATTGTATATCATCCAATATATCACCTACAGTGCGGGTGATATCACTATGTATATGCCAATTTGTGTATTGTATATCATCCAAATATATCACCTACAGTGCTGGTAATATCACTATGTATATGCCAATTTGTGTATTGTATATCATCCAAATATATCACCTACAGTGCGGGTGATATTACTATGTATATGCCAATTTGTGTATTGTATATCATCCAATATATCACCTACAGTGCGGGTAATATCACTATGTATATGCCAATTTGTGTATTGTATATCATCCCAATATATCACCTACAGTGCGGGTGATATCACTATGTATATGCCAATTTGTGTATTGTATATCATCCAAATATATCACCTACAGTGCGGGTAATATCACTATGTATATGCCAATTTGTGTATTGTATATCATCCAATATATCACCTACAGTGCGGGTGATATCACTATGTATATGCCAATTTGTGTATTGTATATCATCCCAATATATCACCTACAGTGCGGGTGATATCACTATGTATATGCCAATATGTGTATTGTATATCATCCAAATATATCACCTACAGTGCGGGTAATGTTACTATGTATATGCCAATTTGTGTATTGTATATCATCCAAATATATCACCTACAGTGCGGGTAATATTACTATGTATATGCAATTTGTGTATTGTATATCATCCAAATATATCACCTACAGTGCGGGTGATATCACTATGTATATGCCAATTTGGTGTATTGTATATCATCCAAATATATCACCTACAGTGCGGGTGATATTACTATGTATATGCCAATTTGTGTATTGTATATCATCCAAATATATCACCTACAGTGCGAGTAATATCACTATGTATATGCCAATTTGTGTATTGTATATCATCCAAATATATCACCTACAGTGCTGGTGATATCACTATGTATATGCCAATTTGTGTATTGTATATCATCCAAATATATCACCTACAGTGCGGGTGATATCACTATGTATATGCCAATTTGTGTATTGTATATCATCCAAATATATCACCTACAGTGCGGGTGATATTACTATGTATATGCCAATTTGTGTATTGTATATCATCCAAATATATCACCTACAGTGCGGGTAATATCACTATGTATATGCCAATTTGTGTATTGTATATCATCCAAATACAGGCTTCGCGAAAGTTGCCGGACCGTCGGACATGTCCGGCAAAAATCAGGCCGGTCCGATATTTTTTTCGGAGTTCCGGACCTTATGTCCGGTACGAATACCGGGATATAGCCAAGACTGATCAAGACCGAGTTTTCTCCCTTGAATAAAAAAAGTGTATTTTACGAGTTTTGATTCGCCGTTTCATTATAAGTGTCCAATCAAATTCTAAATACATACGACTGTCAATAACCAAATTGTCGGTGTTTCTACATTATTATGCTGGCGCTACCCCGGCAAATATCATACAAAAATCATAAACTATCTAATGAAGAAAAAAAAGCGGAACAAAAGGAATACGAGTCCAGGCGCCCACCGAGAAAATTTGTGGGTACAGTAAATGGAAAAATGGCCGCTTTATTGATCATGAATGTTTTGATTTCCAGACAGAGTCCATCAATCTGGATAAACTAATGTTTTATTTAAGGGAATAAAATTGTGTTGCAAATCTTTAAAAGTTGTTATGTCTTTTAAAAAAAAAACACAAAGGTATTACCATTACCGCGAGTTAAATGATGACATACTGTTTTCAAAATGGCCGAGACACGGTCTACATCTGACTTATTAAACTTATTTTGATTGAATAAATTGTTGTTTCCTTGTGTCATATAGCAGAAAAATGACTAAATGATACAGTTTATGAAAGTTTTTGTAGTGTAGGTTTATTGTTTGTCTTCTTTACTGTTTTAAAGTGTTAAGTACCATGAACTAAGAGGAACACAGTATACCATATACATATATTTGGAAAAAAAATTCGGTCAGACAAAAGTTCTTTCGGTCAGACAAGAATTGAAAGTTTGTCTGACCGAATGTCAGGCAATTTTTTCAGCAGTTTCGCGAAGCCTGCAAATATATCACCTACAGTGCGAGTCATATCACTATGTATATGCCAATTTGTGTATTGTAAAATATATCATCCAAATATATCACCTACTTGTATATCATCCAAATATATCACCTACAGTGCGGGTAATATCACTATGTATATGCCAATTTGTGTATTGTATATCATCCAAATATATCACCTACAGTGCGAGTCATATCACTATGTATATGCCAATTTGTGTATTGTAAAATATATCATCCAAATATATCACCTACAGTGCGGGTAATATCACTATGTATATGCCAATTTGTGTATTGTATATCATCCAAATATATCACCTACAGTGCGGGTGATATCACTATGTATATTGCCAATTTGTGTATTGTATATCATCCAAATATATCACCTACAGTGCGGGTGATGTCACTATGTATATGCCAATTTGTGTATTGTGTATCATCCAAATATATCACCTACAGTGCGGGTGATATTACTATGTATATGCCAATATGTGTATTGTGTATCATCCAAATATATCACCTACAGTGCGGGTAATATCACTATGTATATGCCAATTTGTGTATTGTATATCATCCAAATATATCACCTACAGTGCGGGTGATATAACTATGTATATGCCAATTTGTGTATTGTGTATCATCCAAATATATCACCTACAGTGCGGGTGATATTACTATGTATATGCCAATATGTGTATTGTGTATCATCCAAATATATCACCTACAGTGCGGGTAATATCACTATGTATATGCCAATTTATGTATTGTATATCATCCAAATATATCACCTACAGTGCGGGTAATATCACTATGTATATGCCAATTTGTGTATTGTATATCATCCAAATATATCACCTACAGTGCGGGTAATATCACTATGTATATATATGCCAATTTGTGTATTGTATATCATCCAAATATATCACCTACAGTGCGGGTAATATCACTATGTATATATATGCCAATTTGTGTATTGTATATCATCCAAATATATCACCTACAGTGCGGGTAATATCACTATGTATATGCCAATTTGTGTATTGTGTATCATCCAAATATATCACCTACAGTGCGGGTGATATTACTATGTATATGCCAATTTGTGTATTGTATATCATCCAAATATATCACCTACAGTGCAGGTGATATCACTATGTATATGCCAATTTGTGTATTGTATATCATCCAAATATATCACCTACAGTGCTGGGTAATATTACTATGTATATGCCAATTTGTGTATTGTATCATCCAAATATATCACCTACAGTGCTGGTAATATTACTATGTATATGCCAATTTGTGTATTGTATATCATCCAAATATATCACCTACAGTGCGGGTTATATTACTATGTATATGCCAATTTGTGTATTGTATATCATCCAAATATATCACCTACAGTGCGGGTGATATCACTATGTATATGCCAATTTGTGTATTGTATATCATCCAAATATATCACCTACAGTGCTGGTAATATTACTATGTATATGCCAATTTGTGTATTGTATATCATCCAAATATATCACCTACAGTGCTGGTAATATTACTATGTATATGCCAATTTGTGTATTGTATATCATCCAAATATATCACCTACAGTGCTGGTAATATTACTATGTATATGCCAATTTGTGTATTGTATATCATCCAAATATATCACCTACAGTGCGGGTAATATTACTATGTATATGCCAATTTGTGTATTGTATATCATCCAAATATATCACCTACAGTGCTGGTAATATCACTATGTATATGCCAATTTGTGTATTGTATATCATCCAAATATATCACCTACAGTGCGGGTAATATCACTATGTATATGCCAATTTGTGTATTGTATATCATCCAAATATATCACCTACAGTGCTGGTAATATTACTATGTATATGCCAATTTGTGTATTGTATATCATCCAAATATATCACCTACAGTGCGGGTAATATCACTATGTATATGCCAATTTGTATTGTATATCATCCAAATATATCACCTACAGTGCGGGTAATATTACTATGTATATGCCAATTTGTGTATTGTATATCATCCAAATATATCACCTACAGTGCGGGTAATATCACTATGTATATGCCAATTTGTGTATTGTATATCATCCAAATATATCACCTACAGTGCTGGTAATATCACTATGTATATGCCAATTTGTGTATTGTATATCATCCAAATATATCACCTACAGTGCGGGTAATATCACTATGTATATGCCAATTTGTGTATTGTATATCATCCAAATATATCACCTACAGTGCGGGTAATATCACTATGTATATGCCAATTTGTGTATTGTATATCATCCAAATATATCACCTACAGTGCGGGTAATATCACTATGTATATGCCAATTTGTGTATTGTATATCATCCAAATATATCACCTACAGTGCTGGTAATATCACTATGTATATGCCAATTTGTGTATTGTATATCATCCAAATATATCACCTACAGTGCGGGTAATATCACTATGTATATGCCAATTTGTGTATTGTATATCATCCAAATATATCACCTACAGTGCGGGTGATATCACTATGTATATGCCAATTTGTGTATTGTATATCATCCAAATATATCACCTACAGTGCGGGTAATATCACTATGTATATGCCAATTTGTGTATTGTGAATCATCCAAATATATCACCTACAGTGCGGGTGATATTACTATGTATATGCCAATTTGTGTATTGCATATCATCCAAATATATCACCTACAGTGCTGGTAATATTACTATGTATATGCCAATTTCTGTATTGTATATCATTCAAATATATCACCTACAGTGCGGGTAATATCACTATGTACTGTATTCCTAGAAAAGATTTCGCGCATTTTAAGTTAGCGCTTTTCGCGGTAGGCATGATTACGCGAATATTTATAGCCGCGAATGTGTCACTTATAACAAATCCGCGAACATTTCTAGTTTCAACCAAATAAAAACATAAACGTTCAGAATATTTATTATAATCTACTTACGCAATAACATATAAACACAGGTGCTATAGAAATGTGTAAAGAATTATGTAAAGTCCATCTCCTTACTAAACCACCACATATCCATATTTACATTTCAATATACCTATAATGCACATAACAAAACAAACAAAAAACATGAAAAAAATGTCAATTATTAGTAATTATCACGCTTATTCACGCTATTTGCTAGTCACAGTGTATACAAAGCATTTACAGTTTGCGTACATTAAATGACTTGGATTTTATTTGCCTGGAGTAGGTGTAATCCTTTGTTTAAAGGACAATAGCGATCAAGTGCTGCATTGATAGACAGCTGTTATGTTGTTATAATGAAAGCGATGTACAGTCCAAAACTGTTAAGCAGTACATAACCGTTATATAAATCCAGACGTCTGGACCGAAAACATTTGAAATTTCCTGCTACTTTTAAGTAATATATTTTGTTTTAGTTTATAGATTTTCAGGTCAATCACGAATTCTTTGCATGAATTGCTGAATCATTAATGTGACATTCATTAATGAAAAATCAAATACATGTAGGTTTATACCGTAGTTTAAAAAGCTGTAATTTAGGACGTAGCGACTTAATATTCGCGGAATTCGCGGTTACTACAAATCCGCGAAAGTTTGTCGCCGCGAAAATGCCGACGTTGTGAAAAACGCGAAATATTGTATCCGCGAACATTTCTAGGAATACAGTATATGCCAATTTGTGTATTGTATATCATCCAAATATATCACCTACAGTGCGGGTAATATCACTATGTATATATATGCCAATTTGTGTATTGTATATCATCCAAATATATCACCTACAGTGCGGGTAATATCACTATGTATATGCCAATTTCTGTATTGTATATCATCCAAATATATCACCTACAGTGCGGATAATATTACTATGTATATGCCAATTTGTGTATTGTATATCATCCAAGCCCTCTTATGGAAGTAGTTTATATGTTAAAATAAAGCAAATATTACGAGAGAGCGTAAATCTCCAAGAAAAAAGTCGTGATGGTCATGCGATAAAACAGTTAGTGTTACAGAATAAATACTCGGACTTCACGGGCTGGTCTGAATCTGAATGTATACACTGCAGAACCTTCCGGTATGTACGCAGCGGACTTTACCAGCTGGTATCAGCGCATGGGGCGACAAAAGGGTCAATCATGGAAATTTATCTCGACGTTCCGTCTCGATTAATTTCCTATGATTGACCCTTGTTGTCGCCCCATGCGCTGATACCAGCCTGTAAAGTCCTCGTAAATATTCTATAACTATTACATGGCTGACAAAGCGGAATCACCTAGTCCTTAATAATCATACCCCATACAATAGGATTAGCTGTTGCGATTATTAATCAATATTATGAATTCATTTAAGGAAGAGCTTAATAAAAGTCTAATTAATGTGTGTTGATATTGAAGATTATTAGCCTCACGCGGAAATAAATTTCCCCAAAATCCAACTTTCGTTTTCAATTGATAAAACATTGTTAATTTACCTTAGCGAGTTAATTGTTTTTGACTTGTTATGTTAACATTTCATTCAAGCAAAAAATAATTTACCTATTAGTTACAAACTTTTCAAGATACTTACGGCAATTTCTTCAAATTTTGAGAAAATATTATCCGGGGCTATTTTCCGCCATTCTGATTGTCTCCAATTTTGCAGCGCATGCGTACAGTAATCTGGTTCTCTGTCCGATTTAGGTTCCCATCCAAGAAGTGCGCAGGGGACCAGTCTGATGCGTACTGTAAACGAACACTACTAAATTATAGAAAGATTTCACAACACTAAATATTTTCCTACACTTTCTTTAGTAAAAAAGGTCAAAGAAACATCTGGAAGAGACTCTGCAAACTATTATTATAGGCAATATTGTGCCGTTTCTTCTGTGCAGGCTTATATCATTTTTTATCATCTAATTTTAATTGAATAAATTTGAATGAAGGCTCTCGCACACATAACACCACCTAAATCAGTATATTCAATCTATGTTAACATAATTATTTCAATCCTCTAGCACCGTCTAAATCAGTATATTCAATCTATGTTAACATAATTATTTCAATCCTCTAGCACCGTCTAAATCAGTATATTCAATCTATGTTAACATAATTATTTCAATCCTCTAGCACCTTCTAAAGCAGTATATTCAATCTGTGTTAACTTAATTATTTCAATCCTCTAGCACCACCTAAAGCAGTATATTCAATCTATGTTAACATTATTATTTCAATCCTCTAGAACCGTCTAAATCAGTATATTCAATCTATGTTAACATAATTATTTCAATCCTCTAGCACCTTCTAAATCAGTATATTCAATCTATGTTAACTTAATTATTTCAGTCCTCTAGCACCGTCTAAATCAGTATATTCAATCTATGTTAACTTAATTATTTCAATCCCCTAGCACCGTATAAAGCAGTATATTCAATCTATGTTAACTTAATTATTTCAATCCTCTAGCACCGTCTAAATCAGTATATTCAACCTATGTTAACATAATTATTTCAATCCTCTAGCACCGTCTAAATCAGTATATTCAATCTATGTTAACATAATTATTTCAATCCTCTAGCACCGTCTAAATCAGTATATTCAATCTATGTTAACATAATTATTTCAATCCTCTAGCACCGTCTAAATCAGTATATTCAACCTATGTTAACATAATTATTTCAATCCTCTAGCACCGTCTTAAATCAGTATATTCAATCTATGTTAACTTAATTATTTTCAATCCTCTAGCACCGTCTAAATCAGTATATTCAATCTATGTTAACTTAATTATTTCAATCCTCTAGCACCGTCTAAATCAGTATATTCAATCTATGTTAACTTAATTATTTCAATCCCCTAGCACCGTATAAAGCAGTATATTCAATCTATGTTAACATAATTATTCCAATCCTCTAGCACCGTCTAAATCAGTATATTCAATCTATGTTAACTTAATTATTTCAGTCCTCTAGCTAGCACCGTCTAAATCAGTATATTCAATCTATGTTAACTTAATTATTTTTCATCCTCTAGCACCGTCTAAATCAGTATATTCAATCTATGTTAACTTAATTATTTCAATCCTCTAGCACCGTCTAAATCAGTATATTCAACCTATGTTAACTTAATTATTTCAGTCCTCTAGCACCGTCTAAATCAGTATATTCAGTCTATGTTAACTTAATTATTTCAATCCACTAGCACCGTCTAAATCAGTATATTCAGTCTATGTTAACTTAATTATTTCAATCCTCTAGCACCGTATAAAGCAGTATATTTAGTTGCAGTTTATTCAATCGTTGCTTACATGTCACGACCGCCTCCGTGGTCGAGGGGTTAGAGTCGATGACTTCTAATCCAGATACCTCTCTGGCGTGGGTTCGATCCCCGGGAGATGCTTTGGTAGTTTAGCGCGGAGGAAGGTTGTCTAGTACTGGTGTAACTCTCCAGGAAAGATGGTTAGGAAACTACCCGCCTATATGACTGAAATACTGTTGAAAAAGGCGTAAAATGAAACAAACAAACAAACAAACTTACATGTCACACCCACATATAATACATTTTTTTGTATATATCGTAGCAGTGCATTCAGTATTTGTTAAGATACTAACCCAATATACACCGTCTAAAGCAATATTTTCAGTCTCACACCCACCTAGCACCGTCAAAAGCAGTATAATCAGTCCTTGTTAACATATCTCGCCCACTTAGCACCGTCTTAAGCAGCACATTCAATATTTGTTAACATATATCACCCACCAAGCATCATCTAAAGCAATTTTGCAATTAAGTCTTTATTAACATATATCACCCACATAGCAAAGTCTTAATCAGCATATTTAGTCTTTGTTAACATATCTCACCCACCACCACCGTGTAAAGCAGCATATTTAGTCTTTGTTAATAGATTTCAGCACCGTCTAGAGCTGCATATTCAGCATTTGTTAACTTGTCTCCGTACAGATTCCGACTACTTCTTGAATGTTTAATTTTCTATGTTAAAAAGGACAATACCAAGCTCGGATTGAAATGATTAAATTATGTTATTTACGTGAAAGTTTTTGCCAATTAAATGTCATATTATTTAATGTTTTATTTCATTATTTTGTTCCTTATTTTCCATTATAAAAACAAACTCCGTGGCCTATTTAATATATAGTGGGAAATAAATAAATAACAGACCATATATATCATATTTTGTCTTATATTATTAGTTATAAAGATCGTTGAAATGTTATATGGCCCTATATGAACGGTTATTTGTAGATATAACCCGAGCCGTTCGGTGAGGGTTATATTTGCAAACAGCCGTTTATATACGGCCATATAACCTGTCAACAATCTTTATTACCAATTTATAATACTGCAAGAATCATTTTTAGAGAAAAAAGATTTCTTCATGAATCGACAGCAGGCGTGTATACATATATATGTTATATACAAATAAAACCAAATAAACGTCACGATTATCCGATGATAAATGGCGGTACAAACGTGCAGTATTATAAATATATATACTTTGCTATCTGATCGAAGGGAACTTACACTTGTAAGGAAGATATACTTGACTATATGACTAGTCTCCCTTTAACATGATGACTTTCCTCAAAATATTTCCGAAATAAATGTGTCAATTATGATTAATGGGAAATTATTCCTTTTATGTAGATTGATATTAAGTACAGTATTACTCTCCCTTGAACTGCATTATCAATATTCAAGTTATCGCTTTTTAAACGTTTTGTATTTTATATGAAATAACTATAATGTGCTAATTTTTCAGTGTCTTTCTTAATGATATTAAATTATATAACTAAGAATGCATTCTTATGAAAATTGTGTTTGTATATTTAAGGTATATATTATACTCGCCACCGACTTCCCATGGGTATGGGCGAGTCCTCCAAAAGACTATTAGTCATTTTAGGTTTTTGGAGATAGTGCAAGATGCAGATATAGAAAGATGCCCGAATTCCAGTAGTTTCTCCTGGTTCTTTAGCGTACCAAGAATGTCAGTGGACACTAAAATATCTCAGATATACACAGGACCTGAAATTTTGCTGGACCTACCATAACCCAATCCGTGAGCTATACCATATTCTTTAAAGTGTCACGGAATATGTATCTCCACATATATATTGACACGTGTTGTAAACTTAAGATGCTATAATGATAATGATATTATTTGTGTTTTACCAGAATTCTTTTCACAGAGTTAAACATATTCGAACATTATAGAATAAACTGCACACACAGTACTTTGAACACTCGGATCATGTCACGTGCAGTAACAATTTTGTAACCAATGGTATACTTTTTATAACACCATATGTGACGTCACATATGATGGCATACACATCTCCACCCTGAATATGTATTAATTTACTATTATGTTTATGCATTAAGTAAACTAGTCACGGTTTATTTTAAGATGTTAGTGTTAACCCACCGTATGACGTCACATGTGGTATAAAAATACACCATTGGTTGAGATATTGTAACTGCACTGATATTTGTCTATGTCTTACATATGTCTGTCACGGAAATTGCTTCTATTCCAGTTCTTTTTCACGATCCTAGTACAGTACCTATATTGTACATAGTGTTATTTATGTACTGACAGCTTAGTCAGTGTAATATGGATAAAGTGTAAAGGCCAAGGTCTCTTCTTAGTAGTCTGCATATATTATAGATAACATGGTTTATGTACTGACAGCTTAGTCAGTGTAATATGGATAAAGTGTAAAGGTCAAGGTCTCTTCTTAGTAGTCTGCATATATTATAGATAACATTGTTTATGTACTGACAGCTTAGTTTTTATTATATGGATAAAGTGGAAAGGTCAAGGTCTCTTCTTAGTAGTCTGCATATATTATAGATAACATTGTTTATGTACTGATAGCTTAGTTTTTGTAATATGGAAAAAGTGGAAAGGTCAAGGTCTCTTCTTAGTAGTCTGCATATATTATAGATAACATGGTTTATGTACTGACAGCTTAGTCAGTGTAATATGGATAAAGTAGAAAGGTCAAGGTCTCTTCTTAGTAGTCTGCATATATTATAGATAACATTGTTTATGTACTGACAGCTTAGTTTTTGTAATATGGATAAAGTGGAAAGGTCAAGGTCTCTTCTTAGTAGTCTGCATATATTATAGATAACATTGTTTATGTACTGATAGCTTAGTTTTTGTAATATGGAAAAAGTGGAAAGGTCAAGGTCTCTTCTTAGTAGTCTGCATATATTATAGATAACATTGTTTATGTACTGGCAGCTTAGTTTTTGTAATATGGATAAAGTGGAAAGGTCAAGGTCTCTTTCTAAGTAGCCTTTATATAGTATACATAACGTTGTTTATGTACTGACAGCTTAGTTTTTGTAATATGGATAAAGTGGAAAGGTCAAGGTCTCTTTCTAAGTAGCCTTTATATAGTATACATAACGTTGTTTATGTACTGACAGTTAAGTCTTTATTTTATAAGAAAAAAGTGGGAAGTATGTATCCAACAAGTTTTAAACTAGGTCTGTAAGAGAGGGGAAACAAATCATATACAAATCAATTCTGTACAATTCTTTATTATGAAAAGTCACATATACATGCTATCAGAACCAATCAAAAAGTTACTTTTTACTTTTTAAAGTATAACATAATAATAACAAAACCAGCAGAAATACAATTTTTTCATAAAGGTTCTATGACAAGATATAAATTTTTATATATTGCCTACATTTTGTTAACA